ATCAGAAGGATAGCCTAAAATTATCCTCTGAATGATACAAATGTTTGCAAAAAGAGCCAAAGCTAAAAATAGCCTGTTTGGAACAAGAAGTTCAACTATTTCCATGCATCAATATAAATTTGTGTTCAAATTTGTTATTAATTGACACACAGGTTTTGGAATTAATCTAAATTTAAAAACTTCAAAATAACAAAATGTATAAAACAGCTGAATACAGGTAGGCTAATTTAGCTCCATCATGTGACTCAAGCTGGTTTTAAGTGGATTTAGCTGAATACTTTGATTACGTTAAATGCAGACCCACATTTTAGAATTGCATTTCAATGCATCTGAAAAACTACTGGAGTAAACTCTTTGAAACTACAACATATAGTTTATAAAATGTTTTATTTAACAGCTTGTAAGGAGTAGCTCTATTTAAAACAACTAAGTGTTAAACATAGGGATATAAACAAATAATCTTTTGTCAAATCTTTATAATACGGTCGATATTACACTATACAATAATTTACATGGAGCTCAATGTTTTTTAAAAGTGCAAAAAGCACCAGCAGCTAGCTATGTCACTTCCAATCCAGGCTGAGAAACTCCAGCAAGAAAAGTATAAACTTTACTGGAATAACAGTAGAATTAAACTATATTTCCTTTAAWTGAGGTCATTTTAAAAGCCATCTACAACAGGTAAGACAGTGATTATTCATAACTTTGAGAATTTTCATAAGATCTGAACTTCATTTAACCTATGTGCAAAAATACATCAGTATTATTCAGCTAAATCCATGAAAATAAAAAAAGCATTTCACAGAAAATGATAATTTACCATGAACCAGCAGAAAGTGACATCATCATCCTCATGACAGCGTTGAGTTTGTGCACAAAGGCTGTCAAAATGAATTTAACCAAATCAAAGGCCTGTCACAGATCACACAAAGCCAATGCAACGTGACAACAGCCAGCACAACAGGCACAAAACAACAGATTCTGACTATCCACCAGCACAAATCCTCATTTGAAGAGCCTCAAACAGCAAAGGCATCTCTGTAAACACGACTGGCAACATTAAACAAGCTGCATTCAAATAATCTCAATCTGTTTTAGCAGTTAACTTTAACCATAGGCATCTCTTTACTGCCCCGCTGAGGACCATAACGCCATCTGTCGCCGCACAGCAGGCCGCCCGACACAATACATTTTAAGAAAGCATGTAAACAGGTTGCTGTAATGAGCAGACAAGCTAAGAATTATTTCTCTCTGCATCTATGGGGCGAATAAAATTTCACTTCATTAATGGTGAACAGATGGTGGTGCTAAAAATCTAAATTTCCCACTAATTGTCAACTTTTATGTTAACATTTGTAAAAAAAAAAAAAAAAAAACAAGTAAATGTTTTTTAATGACAAAAATCATTTTAATCACATTGTATTGATGTCAAGCGGCACTTCAAAAGGAGCGGGTGAGAGAATAAATCTAGGTTTGTGACTGGAAAAAAAAACGGTACACAGATAATCAGACTCTTTGTTGTTGGGTGAACCCACGCTGATTACCATTCTGTAGCTGCTTGCCTTGCAGCGCTGCCACTCATTAGCATTAGCATGTGATTAGCAAGTCTAATACGTGCAAAAGCTGTGAAAAATTCAGCCCAAACTCACAAAACCTGATAAGGCTTTTAAGTTTAAGGTAATCTGAGCACAATCTGCTCTAATCTATTCCAAAACATAGCTCTATGTCATTGGAGAAAGTCTTGTGATGGAGTCTACCCTTTCAGTTTCAATCACAAGAGCTTTGTTCAACTGATAAGCATTGATTGTACTTTATAAATAAAGTTATGGTAAACTTTTGTTTGGTTATTGTCTGACATGTGCATGACTGTTTTTGAACATTTGAACAGCTATCCAGACAGAAACAGGAAGCTTTATGAAATTTACTCTGTTTTCAGGATATTAGTACCTGACAGAACACCTGACAGAACAACAGAACGATGCCTTTTATTTTCAAAAGCCTGAAAGCATTGTGCCTAAATCTGGTGATTGCATCATACAAATCCATCTTTGTAATTTGGGTGTTGGCGAAGCACATCCAGGGTTTGTCTTCAGATTGCAACACAGAGGAGAGTTTTGTGGATTAAAGATTTCTGTGCAGAACAGCATCAGGACTTCTGTTTAGAATGCAGAGTTTATTCACAATAATTTCAAAACAAAAGGAACAAACAGTTAAAGTTAATGTGTGGTTCTATAAAAAGTTGATGAAAAATTCATATCTTACATCTTACAGATAGTGCTTACAACAAGCTCATTTTGGAGAAATAGTCTAAACTGAACCAAAAAGAGGAGCCAATGACATATCAAGTTCTACGGATTGTCCATAATTTACACGGATTTCCCCCCATTTTGCAGATGTAAAGGGCAATCTCACAAGTTTTATGGATTTTTCAAAACTCAGTTTCCAATTTATTTAACATGTCAGAGTCCATAGGACGTTAAAAAATGAATAACATGAAAGAATCTTCTTTAGGGCTGCCACGATTAATCGATTAATCGATGACTAATCAATTATTAAAATAATCGATGACTAATTTAATAATTGATTAATCGTTTTCTTTTTTTGTTCTTTACTTTGTTTTTCTCTCCAAACTGCTTTGACACCTTCCACTGCCACGTCTGCCTTTCTGTCCTTGACACATGCACAGTAGTGGTAACTGGTGTAGGCCGTGGACGTCACAAGACATTATACAGACAGGCTCTGGTATCATGGCTACTCGGCAACGGAGCCCAAAAGTGTGGGATCATTTTAAGAAAATGAAAGAGAAACCTGTGCAATATCTGCAGAGCAGAACTTGTCTTCCACGGCAATTATTTGTAGTTAGCATATAGCTAAAATCTTACCATGGTTATATAATAGCAGCTGCATTCTGGCGTGATAAGCTGTATGTTTTATATTCAATTAATGTATGATCCGATTAGTCGACTAATCAAAAAATAATCGGTGATTAATCGATTATATAAATAATCGTTTGTGGCAGCCCTAACCATCTTCCAAACCATTCTGGCTCTACAAATATGTTCTCCCATGTGATGTACAGATTTTTTGCGAAAATTACAGATCTCAAAGGTTCCTTATACCAGTAAATGTCCAAAGGGGTGGACATGTATGCAAAGGCTCTGAGCTGGGCTGAGACCAATGGGTGGTTATTTTAAAACAACTGCAAGTGGTTCATGTATAAACCCTTTTACTGTCATTATTTTGACATTATGACATGATTAAAATTGCACAGTGTGACATGATTTCATTATTTAGTCAAAAATAAACTCTTTTTCTATGACCTGAGGACTTTCAGACAGCTATCTATAGCTGGTAAGATTTTAACTGTTCATAATAATTACACAGAATACCACTTTAATAAATAGGAACTGTTCTTTTGGAAGTTGAGTTGACAGTGTGTTCCAGACTTTATTCAGATGTTAGGGGAGTTTCATTTCCTAAGACAGTAATTCTTACCATCCATTATGTTTTTGTTGTTACAACTGATAAGCTGAACTGAACTGTTTGTTTTCCTCCCTGGATGTTTTTTGAACAGCAAAAGCAGATCTCAATGCATTTTAAAACTAAACTGGATTTACTGTGAGTCACATTTCACAACTCAACAAACATCAGCAACAAAAGTAATTTCTTAGATGTTAAAAATGGGTTAAATTATATTTCTAAGACATCTGTTGAGACTTTAGGAAAAATAAAAAAAGAATATATATTGAAATAACAACCATGTCTTTCCTACATTTTTTTATTGACAATTCAAGGAAATTTCTCTTTTATTCAACATCTATTCTCCCTCCTCCACACAATAAACACATGCAAGTGTATTGTATTTATACAGTATGTGTTTATCCAGCAATATTAAATGTTTTCTCCCACAGTTCTAGCAGCAAAACAAGGACCAAAAAAAAAAGTCTCAGGCAGTCATTTTGTTCCCGGAGGCCCAGGTATAATCACCTGGACTGTCACTATGATAGCTGAAAARAGGGCTGCACATTAAAACCCCATTAAAGTTTTTATTATTCCAAACAACAGATGGGTGTGATGAATAGATTAGTCCAATAACTGCATGTGGCCCGATGTGCCATTAATCAACATCGGCCCACACACTGTGGGCTACAAAGACATGGATGTTGGGAACGGCTCT